GGGGGGGGGGCTGGGCGTGTTTGCAGCATCCACCCAAGGGGTGAGAGTGACGCGCTGCGCATTAGCACTGGATAGCAGCCTCGGGCCCATTCTCTCACCCAGCTTCACATAGCCGTTATCCGTTAGCAGGATATTCGCTCCCTGCACAGAAGGAAACGGCTCAGGGTCAGACACATGCACAACAGGCAGAGTTAAATGCACCATAAATACACAAAGTAGTCTGAATTGCTATGTGGAAGGTAAACCGCAGCTGGCATTTAGGCAAGATTTAACACCATCAGAGTAAAGCTGCTCCTCACATACACAGTGAACCTATATGCAAGACAGCAATACAGCATGTATTCAAATTATACTCAAATTATACTATATCCAAAACATGCATTCAAATTTTATGCAACAGTAATTTTACCATACAGTTACAGTTCAGGAGCAGGGTTTTTTTTAATTATTGTATTGATTTATTTATTTTAAATAAACTTAATCAGAAATTGAAGGTTTATCATACATGGTCTATGCAGCAATCTTACCTTAATATCCCTGTGCATCTTTCCTTTATGGTGAAGGTAATACAGCCCCTGGAGAAACATTATAAATATTCACAAATATTTCAATTCCAACTGCTTAAGCGCCTAATTTTCTACCCTTGAAAAAAGCTGCATAATTAACCTTGAAACCGTACAGCAGCTATCAGGGTTAGTTACGAGGGGCGTGTTAAAGATGGCTGACGCCGGCAAACACCTCCCTTACAAGCCATTAAACATCCCCGTCCCAGCGACCCTGGGCAGGGAAAGGCCGGCCATCCACCCCAGTTAAGCGGTAGCTGTGAATCGATACTGATGCTAATGGAGTGGCGGGCGGCTAGCAGTACCTGGAGTGTTTCCCGCGATACGTAGGCGATCTGGGACTCGGAGAGGGGCCCTGTCACTGCAGGGAGAAGGGCACGCGGTTAGGGGCGGATGCCCATGCAGACCCACGATCGGGAATGATGACAGGTCAGCCGCGAGACGTGACACGCGCAGAGTGCCGGGCGACTTCAATAAGAGAATAGCAAATCTAATTAATCGAAAAGGTTAATTAAATAATTATGGCCGGATTCTGGAGTGTCTGTTTGATGCAGTGGCTTCTAGCTGTGTTTAAATGCCAAACTGTTAAGGATTGTTTCACTGTTATGCTTGGGTATGGAAAAGCAACATCGCTCAGACGGCAGCACTCCAGGCCGTTCACATTACAGTACAGCAGCACCACACCGCAGTATCGGGACAAAGTGAAGAGCGATGAACTGCGGAGGGATGCAGTGTACGTACACATGCAGGCAGTCTGCTGCAGGCAGTCTGCTACAGGACCACCACTGACTCCAGCTGCCAAGAACTACATCATTCTGTTGAAATTCTATACTATATTATTACATCATTAAAAATATATATAGTCCCATCAATAAACAAAAAGGCCCCAAATACCTCCTTTCCGGTGTCCTTTTCATTCACTTAGACAAATGGAGACCAGAGAGGATCAAAGCTCTACCTGACAGCCTGGGGTGCCCGTCGGCACACGCCCGCCCACCCAGACGACCCCTCGCCCGCCCGCCCGCTTGGGTCCTAACGGGGGCCACGCCTCCGTCTTACCGTGATATATATCCTGTAGCGATCCTCCACCGCAGTATTCCATGCATATCCATAATTTATCTCTCCTGGAAGTATAAGGAGACAACTTCAGTTACAATCAATATGTCTCGGAATAGCTCACAAATCACAACCCGCGGGGCGGGGTGGGGTGGGGGGGGCAGGTGCTGGAGGCATAGCGTCCAAATCATCGCTCTGGGTCGCATCACGCCGGCCACCTCGGCTGATCCCCCTTGCTGTCCATGGGCTGCTGCTCGTGTTTGGATGCAAAAATATCTCTGCATCGGAAGCCTCCCCCGAGCCCCCCAGCATGGCCCCGTGGGGTAGGGGTGGGGTCGCAGCCCGCAAAGGGGGGTGGGGTGGTGGGAGAGAGGGGGGTGCACCTGAGATAGCTGCCGAAGTAGGCCACGATGTTGGAGTGCTTGCAGTCCTTCATCATGATGATCTCCTGCTGCACCACCGCGAAGTCCTCCCCTGCAGGGGAACGGAGGCAGAGGTGTGACAGATGGAGACCCGGCACACTGAGGAAAGGCAGGAGAACGGCCTGTGTGTCTGTCAACCGCCAGCATGTCCCTCAGCTCACATAGACACACAGATCACACACATCCCTGCACCGCCAGGGACAGGACACTCAAACTCGAAACTGCTTTCTGTGACTGGCTAGCTTCTGGCTATCAGTGGTTAGCCAGTGATTAGCTGAGACTGACCTGCGGCTAACTGAGGCTTGCTTGTGACTAGCAGAAGCTAACTGGTGGCTATCTGGGTCTAGTTGTGTGATTTCCATTGCAAGGTTGCCAACCCTTGACGCCCGCAAACAGCTACAGCATGTCAGTGTGCATTACTTGGGTTTAGCAGTTTAGCACTCGTGAAGTCGCTGCAGGAGTTACTCTGGTAGTGCATCATCAGTGAGGACATCTAGAGCTTGGGGGGGGGGCGGTATGCAATGTCTAGTGAGGCTGCAATTCTCAAGGAGACTAAAAACGGCACGGCTGAAGCAAAGGTTCATCTTACAGCTTTCGGCTCGGTTCCCGGCCGCAGGGCCAAGTTCTGACGACACGTTATACAAGTTATGCAACTAAGAGCAGAACAAAGCGAATATCCACGCAGCCAGCAGCAGGCATTTGCATGCGATTCCGGACTAATGGGACGCCCTCCGCTAACATGGGGCTCTTTCACCATCCACCCCCCTTTAGGGTCCATGCTAAAATAGCATCAGCCACACAAGTTCGACTGCTGCGTTCTGAGTATTAAACGACGGCAAACACCCCCATTCCACAACTGCACATTAAAGGCACGTCCTGCCTGCTGATATCATAGATTTTTAATTAACATCACTTCGCAGATGGATTACCTTTCATCTTTCTCCATGCACTGGCTTCCAAGAAACACCACGATGAAACACTAAACCAAAAATTCAACCCCAGTTTGCCCCCCCCCACACCAATTTTTTCACTCCCTGATTAAAATGATCACAACAAAAATTTATCTAACAGGATTTAACGGCATGTTTGCAGGAAGCCCCTCCACAACGCATAGAAATATTTTGCCTGAGATGCAGTCTGTGAGTCAGCGGATTTCTACACACTGAGGTGAGCTGACAAGCTGTCTCTTTAATACAAATAAAAATTTTAAAATAGTACCTTCAGGGTAATAAACAAGGACAAACAAGGAGGCCGCTAGGCAGACTAATAGAGACAACCTGTCCGTGGCATGTTGTGCCGTTCCTCTCATCAAAAGTGTGCATTTAGCGGGGGTGGGTCCTCAATCATGAAATAAACAGGAAAGAGGGAAGGACACCCCCAGCCAGCATGGCTGACACAAGTATATCCACCTGCTCTGATGCTATTTACCTGCCATGGTTCCTACTGCATGTGCACGACTCCCCTTCCCTTAGTCACTATTAGTCACCACACCTCTGCTGTAGCAGAGTCATCACCTCAACCTGCGACCCACACATCTCTAAGCACCAGTAAGCACCTTCGCACAGTACTGGAGAATCCAACTGTGATAACTGGAATTATTGTTGCATATGCATTTTTTTAAATGGACAGAGGTACAATGACTCAGTGGTGAGCTTGGATCCAACACACACCCGGGACCGTGTCCCCTTCCCAGCGCCTGATCCGCCCATTCAGAGTCTGCATTTTCTCTCTCTGTTCAGTTGGATTATCCTTGAGCTTTTTTCTCTCCTCAGTCACCGTGACACACAACAGAATACTCTAGCTACTACACTAAGATGCGTAGTCATGTCACAAATATAAGGACACCCATTAGAGACATAATGCCTCCCTGTCTCACATCTAACATCCCAGGGCTTCTCCTGTTGTAACCTTCAGCCTGTTTTTACCGATTGAGTTAGTAAATGATAAAGTGTCCTGCTGTATAGTGCTGTAGGAGTTTGGGTAACTCTCCATCCATCCATCCATTTTCCAAACTGCTTATCCTTCAGGGTCGCGGGGGGTCCAGAGCCTATCCCGGAAGCTACGGGCACGAGGCGGGGAACAACCCAGGACGGGGGGCCAGCCCATCGCAAGGGTAACTCTCCATAGCAACAAATTATATTTACAGTAGTGTGTATATATGTACTTTAGGGGAAAATGACTGAATATGAGACCCAAAGAACCTCCCCCTACTATCTATCCATCCTTCATATGGAACCCTGATGTTACCCATCAGTTCCGCAGACTGAATACTGCCTCCCAGCTCCCCCGTGTCATTTGCCATGCACGCCACAGGCAACTCGTTATATTTGAGCACTTTTTAAGGTAGGCAGCAACGCACCCGTGAAAATCTGACAGTCGCAATATCCGTGTTTCAAAGTGAGTTTCTTTCTTCCGCAGGTTCTGAACCAGACGCCGCCGTAACGCCGTGTGTATGGAGTTTCCCCGCAAACCAAGCCGCTAGCAGCTCAGTATGAACGAACGTCCATCCATCCATTTTCTGTAACAGCTAATCCTTTTCAGGATCACGGGGGGGTCCGGAGCCGGTCCCGGAGGCTCGGTGTGAAAGTCTTTCCAGAAAATAAAAAATAAATAATAAATAAAAACTGAAATAGACACACTTTTAAACGGCAACCATACTTCCTGCATATCCTCTTAACTCTGACCAAATTCTACCCATTTGGACTGGGAAAGAAGTCTTCAATGAACTGGGAAAAACAGACCCCTCCAATTCCCCATCAAAAACAGACCTGCTTCTGTATATCACAACAATATTTATAAATTAGTAACTACTATTAGTGATGTTTGTTATTGTTAAGTCGGCAGTAAATAAATCTATGTGTACAACTAATTGAATGCATCAGCATTTCTATTGCTTATATAATAATTTCAGCAAATTGATTTCACATGCCTAGCCTCAGTATAATCTCGAACCAAAATGGCGAACCTAATGTTCTCGCAGTCTATTTTGTTCAAGATACTGCTCAGCATTTCTAGATATTAAAACAGTAAATAATAATCTATTAATAAATAATACAGTAATAAATAATCTACTGAATACATCCAGTCCTCTATTAGTGGAGGTGGGATTACACGTTTTCATTAAAGCAAATGTGCCAGGATCTAAGTCCCGCCATGAGACATAAGCGGCTCACACCATTAAAAGGCACAGCCGCACATTCCTACATAGAATCTTTATTTTAGTAACGTTCATAAAGCTCCTGTGGTGATCTTTCTCAGGCATCATTAGCGAGTGACCATCGTCTCCCACCATCAGCTGGCCAGCTGCCCCCAGAGTGTGCCAGCCCCCCCGCCGAGAGCGCACCCTGCTGGGAAATGACTCAATGTGACATTGCCAGACTCCATAGATCCAACCTGACTGGCACTATAAAGACCCTGCCGAGGCGAAGCGAAGAATAAAGCTAATATTTTTAATATCAAAGCAGTATTCCAACCAGCTCCCCTCCCCATGCCTGTAAATTTTAAATAAAATCCTTCCATTCATCTTTGATAACTGCTTATCCAAAGGGGGCGCTGTGGTGCCTATTCCAGGAGGACATGCTCACATGAGGCGGAAACACCCTGAATCACCAGTCAATCTCAGGGAACACTCACACACTACGCGCTAATCAGAGACACTCGTACACCTGAACTGCACGTCTTTGGAGGGGAATGGGAAGCTGGAGCCCCCAGAGGAAACCCACACAAGACAGGAGAATACGCAGAACCCAAACACACATGCCGGAGGACCCAGAAAAGAACCCACCACATGCAAGAATAACTGGAACAGAACCCACACACACTCACGCAGGAGAAGCCAGAATGGAACCCACACACACATGCAGGAGGAGCCGGAACAGAACCCACACACACTCAGGAAGAGCTGGAATGGAACCCACACACACGCAGGAGGAGCTGGAATGGAACCCACACACACGCAGGAGGAGCTGGAATGGAACCCACACACATGCAGCAGGAGCCGGAACGGAACCCACACACACACACATGCAGGGGGGAGCCAGAACAGAACCCACACACACATGCAGGGGGAACTGGAAGAGAACCCACACACACATGCAGGAGGAGCTGGAAGAGAACCCACACAAACACACACAGGAGGAGCCAGAAACCACAACCCTGAGGCACGAGGCCATGGTGCTGCATCACAATCTCTCATTTAAAACAATTACAATTTTTAATTTAAATCTTAATTCGCATGACAATAATTTGCAGACCTGTAAAAGCTGAAGGCTTGCAGCCATACAGCGTCACTAAGAGGAACAGTGAAAACAGCAAGATGATTATATGGTTTCTTACAGTATCATTAGGGAGCCAATAGCCCTGGGCTTCTTGATATATCAGAAAGCATCTTCAGAAAATGCATTTGCACAAGGAACTTATTTTAATGTGCTCATTTTCCGTTAATTTCCCCCTTGTCATGACTAATTAGGCCTATGGGGAAGTGCAGTATCACAAGGCAGCCGCATCCTATGACATATGCCCCCCCCCCCGCAGCCCCCTTACTTGGGCCTGAGGTGCCCGCATCCTACTCGTATTTCGTCCCTGACCTTACAGTGCAAGGAGGGGGGAACTATTTGTGTTAGTTAGGGAGAGGGCAGGCAGTCCAGCCTTAGACTGAGAGCTATGGAGGATCGGGACCTAAAATTGTCAGTCTGCCCCCAGCTTTCCAGCGGTACCCTGCTGAACCCCCCTGGTCTGTACACTACTCCCTGCTGCTGGTAGGAAGCAACCCCTCCTGATTACCACTGGCAATGTGGCATGTGACCCAGACTCGGTACCAAGAGAGGACTTTAATCCACCAATCTGGCAACACTGTGCTTTCAGCCCAGATTTAACATGATCACATTTCTCCATTCGCTCAATGTTACTCCCAGCAGTGATCATACATCTATAAATACTGTTGAAGTCATCATAGGTACCTAAAAACATTTTATTTATAAGTAGGGTAAAACCCGGTATGTCGTTATTAACTAGAATTCAGGGTAAAGTGTAACACTTTGTCATCTAGCGTTG